GAAAGATGGGCAAGGACACTCATTAGGAGTGAGGGGATCCACAGTTCTCCATGCAGGAAGAATGGGCAGGCTTTAAGCTAAGGTCTGCTGGTACAAAAGAAAAACAGGTGACAAGGGTAGTGCACACATGCCAACCACCAAACCATCTGGCTTAGCCGGTTCTGGAGCTGCATTCCAGCAGAAGCAGAAGTCCCAAGCCACATATCCACTTTTCAGATAGCACTTGACCAGTTTCAGAAATGCATTTTTTGACATGATTTACTGCTGTAAACTATTTACTGTAAACTACCCCCAGAGGTCTCTTGCTAGGTAATGTTTCTAGCAAGTGTAAACTGAAAGCCCTCAAAATTAGGTGACCAGGGTGGAATTATCTCCTGATGAGACTGGAGCCTATATTTCTGGAGACTGGAAGCTTTCTTTACTGGGAACAAGGACTTTCAGGTTCTCTCAGACACAGGTCTAGTCTGTTGTTTGTCTACAATTTGATCTAGTGCAATGGGATCCAGGCCAGCAGCAAGGCTATTATCATGCAGGCTATGTTCAACAATACTCTTGTTTCTTGAGTCTTGGTTTCAGTGTTACGCAGATAATTGACCCGGTACTGCTGATTACACCAAGCCATAGCATTGCACCATCATGTGGTGAGTCTGCCATTCCTGAAGACCTCCTTCATGTTTGCCCAGAATAGACAATTCTCTCTGCTTTTCATCTTTGCTTGTTCCTGCCCAGCTAGATTCTTCTGACTCTTACCCTACTCCCCAAAGAAGCTTACCTTTGTGCCAGAAGAGAAGTGACAATAGGAAGAGCCAACTACCAGGAACCCAAAGAACATGAGTTTAAGAGGAGCCATGCGGCCAAAAAAACGAGGCTGAGAAATCACAAATACTCCACCCCAAAGCGCTGGCACGGAGGGCAGAAAGCTCCAAATAGAAAGCAGAACAGAAAGAAACATCAGACTTAGGGGAGGAGGGCAGGCAGCAAGGAACCGTGGAAAGGCACAATTAGAGAAAGAAAGAAAGAAAATAATCAAATCAGTGCAGAAAAGCTGAAGGAAAGAATGAAGGCAACAGAGACTGAAGAAGTAAACAATGGAGATGCAAGATGGAGGTGAGAAAAGAGTGTGGGGAAGAAGGAACTAAACCAGAAAAGGGCCTCAGGCAGGGAATAATGAATTCAGCCTGCCTGAAGTCAAACTAGCTCAAGGAAAACTCCAGGCAACTGTGCTCCAGCATGTGGGAATGGGAGCTCAGCAGAGCCAAAGTCTGAAAACAAGCATTTATGAACCTAGTCCCTAAAAATGGCTTCAGATCATGAGAGCAAACAACATTTCACAATCTGGCAGGAACCTGAACATGCACATCTGTTCGAGGACCTGACCTGTATTGTCCAAACACCTCAAATAGTGTGGAGGTACAAATAATCCTCGGGTGTTCCCAGGGCGTGTGCCTGCGTGTGTCGTCACATGCACACATCCGTCACACAGCCCAGGTGACTGCCAAAACTCAGCTGGAATCACTGGCATGACTGCAAGATCCCAAAATACAGGGCAGCCTTGGTGGAATTAAGGGGCCCATATGTTAAGTAATGGCTGAGTAATCAGTACCTTACTCATATTTTATGCAACAATTATAAAGCCAAGGAGCAGGAGGAAAGCTGAATGCTGAGCTGAGCCTAGTGAGGGTTGTGGGTTAGGACTGCATCCTGCCTTGTGTTCAAGTGACATTGGAAGGGCAGGATCAGGCCAAAAAATCTGCTCCTTGCTCTTCTTAACATACCTTTCCAGAAGATTTTATTCCTTTAAATAATGCAGCTCCAACAATTATCCAGGACAGGAGGAGACAGAGAGCCAAGTACCACACAATGTTGCCAGTCTCGTTCAGCCCACTGGAGCGCTGAAGAGCCACTTTACTGAAAGCACAGAACACTTCCATGAGAAGAGGGTAACAGCAGCACACACTCCTCCTCTTCAGCTGGTGCCTGCTGGTGTTACAAGACCCTGTAACCACTTCCATGAGTGTGCAGTTAGAATTGATGATTGGTACTGCAAAGGTGAATATTTAACTGTATTTCTGACCTCTTTTTGAGGTCTACCAGCACTCAGCTCTCCATATACCTCCCATAAGGCCCACTTCAGCTCTTTTGTGTTAACCATAAAATTCTGACAGCAAGAGCCCGTAAGAAGAATCAGTCCTTAGGGCACATGAGTCAAATTGAAACCATGTGGCTGAAGAAATGGCAACTTCACAACAGACTCAGATTAAGAATAAGGTGAATATATTTTGCACAGTAAATCCTGGGGAAAAAAAAGTATATGCTATACATAAAGATGCTAAGTAGTCCCTACCAGGACTCCAGAGAAGAGGACTTCCTTAAACCTGAGTAATTTTCAGTTTGCTACAGGTAGACTCACTTACTTCTCTCTTTCTCTCTCTCTAAATATATAC